CTTTCAGCACACAATTACCCTCATTCCAATTACTGGAATTCTTCACACAAAACTGCCATTCACATTACGGTGTTTCACACGAATACAAAATCATTTTCTCTGCTAAACTACAATCAGATTTCAGCATTCAATCTTTCTTCTTCTCAAATAATATCAATCACATTTCCATTCCATAATTCACTTCAAAATATTCAGAAACTCTCAATCCTCTTATTCAAAGAAAATAACAAACAAAAGAAAAGAAGTAGCACTAAGCTTACCCCGACTCATACTATTATAGCGATGGCACCTTAATTAACTTCTACAACTCCTATATACTTTTCCATGATTCTCCAGATTTTAACCATAATTCTATAATTAACCACTTTTAAGAACTAAATCACTCATTCGTTATTTTGAATTTCCTATTATATGGACTATTAATATATTTTATCAATATCTTTCAAAAACGAATTAATATCTATTCTACAGTGTTTCAATAAACTTGACTTATGATTCTAGATTTGAATAGTTTTGGAATTAAAGTTTAATTATTAATTATACTTAATTAATAAATCTTCAAAACTTTGATCTTATATCAAACTTCTCAAGTAAGACAATTCTTGGTTCTCTATTACTTAAATGGTGTTTTACTATAAGAAAAGAAATATGATTTGGTGCAGATGTTGAAGCAGCTCCATTATCTCTATATTTCTACTTATTATCATTCTTACTCCTCTTTGTAGTGGTAATATTGATTTAATGCATTGCAAGTACTAACTTCTTCAATTGTTCTTACATTTGTGCCATTACATTCTCCATTTTGACAAGCTTTGCCATAATAATACTTAGAGAAAAAAAAATATCTAATATTGCTTAAGACAAGTAAAAAAAAAAAAAAAAAAACTTATGAATAAAGAAAATATTAAATTTATATCAGTTTTGAAGAGGATAATTTGTAACTTCTAATTTTCTTATGTCTTATAAAGAAAAAGTAGTAATTTACTCTTAATTAAAAAAAAAAGAAGCTTTGATATTGTAAGTGCATTCTTGTCAATTTATCAAGGACAAAAACTTGATGAAAGCAAATAAATAAAAGATTTTTTTTTCAAAAAAGTAGAACAAATAAAAATAATAGAATATGTATATTAAAAAAAAACTAGAATAGTTATTGCTAATAGACAAGAAAATTAAAGACTTCTTGAAACTAGACTAAAAGTAAGAAAAGAATTCACAAGAGTGAAGAAGGCTTCACTCTTGTCTCTATATATATTATCTACTTAGAAGCTACGTAAAAATATCCTATAAGACCTCCAAAACATGTTGACTTTGTACAACATGTATCTTAACTTATAAGGCAAGTTTTTTATATGAATACCACATAATTAGCTTACTCTACAAGCTACCAATATGTTGTCATATTATGTAAAGTATTGCTTGATAGTGCAATAGGCACCTGATTATAGTAGGTAGAATGGAAATTATAAGAAAAAAATCCTAATTCTAATAGAATATTAAATAAAATCTAATTAAATCTTAACAATGCTAAATAAGCTTTAATCAAATTTAAAAGAAATCTTAAAGAAATTACAAAAGAAACAATAAAAAATCTTAAAGAATTGAAAAAAAATCCACAACCTACTTGAAATTTAAAGCATTGATCTTGCTTAAAAATTTACACACCTTTTAACAATTGAGTTGGCAAAAAGCACACAAAATTTGAAGATAATTGCGCTTACCAAATAGAAAAAAAAACCCTAAATTTTGCTTGGGTGTTAGTAGGCCTCCTACTCCAATCTAAATGTTAAACTTCTAGTTCTAATATCTCTTTATCAAACTATTTAATTGTTTTCAAATTGTACATGTATATAGAAAATTAAGTCTATTACTCTCAAACATAAATTTTATTTCAATCCAATTAGTAAATTGCTGATGATTTTTAAAACGCTAATTGCCTTTCAAAGCCCAATTTCTGAGACCTCGATCTACTTGAAATTTCATAGCCTTTAGTTCAATTGTTCAATCAAGCTCAAACTTTTAGCTTACACTTCAGACAACTATTTTCATAAGACATCAAATTTTGAATTATAGATCTAGTATCAAACTCATGAAATTTTCCAAAATGTAATATCCTTTTTATTTCACAAATTCCAAAGTCACCCAAAACAACTATGACTTTGCAAAGCTCCTGTAAAGTTATTACACACTCAATTTCTTGAAAATCAATGCTCAAAAAAATCCTATCAAGTCTGCTCTTAAGTTCCACTCTTTGATTTGCCAAAGAATCTCCAAGTTGTTATAGGTACTCGGTTTTGTGCCTCAGGGTCTGATTTTGACCCAGGTTGATAATTGGTCCTCTTTGGATATTAAATTTTGCCCTTTTGAGTTAATTTTTATTCTAATCAACTCCTAATTTCTTCTTATATATGCTCATATTCTTTATTTTTCTAATCTATCTTATTTTGCCTTATTTATAGGCTTACAAAGTAAGTAGAAGCCTACTTTGTAAAAAGGTAGCATTTAAATCTTTAGTTCTACTTTCTTTTGGACTTTTTTCTATTTACTAAAATAATTTTCTATAATATTTGAAGTAAGATCTTCTATAATATAGTAGATTTTTCACCCCCTTTCACCTATTAGTCATATTACATCACAACAACATATGATACTTAGTTAACTTGTTGACTAAATTTCTAACCTTTCAATCAACTACAAACATATGTAAAGTTAAAGTAGCATCTATAAAGCTTCTACAAAGCTTTTCTAGAAGATAATATGAAATTAATCTATTTTTTCTTATTTCTACCTATTCATATTACTTAAGTAACAATTATAGTGTATATATGTCTATGATACAAACCATAATAAGAAATAGATCATAATTAGATTATTGGATCAAATTCAAATTTAGTATAATTTTTTCTTTTTTATTTTTTAAGTAGAAAAAAAATAAAAATAGATCTAACTTTTGTATTAATAGATATTTCAATAAAACCTTCAATTATGTTGCTTGGCTATTTATTATAGATTTAAAAAAGACTTCTAATAGCTAATTCTTTTAATTTTGATTATTAATTAAAAAATAATATAAAAATTTAATTTGATATTTTTGATTAATACTTTAAAATTTTTCTTCATCAAAGCTATAGATCTTTCATTATTTAAGAAATTATAATTAATTTTAAATTACCAAATTCCAAAATTTTCTTATATATAAAATTAAATATCTTGTAGCTGCAATGCTAAATTAATATAAAACTTAAAAACCATATATCTTACTTATACATTCACATAATTATAAAAATTCAACCATTGATCAAATAAAAAGCTTAAAATAAATCTAAACTTTAGGTTATTACTTATTGTTCTTAAATTTTTGTTACCCACATAATCTTAACTTTAATTGTTGCTTTAGAGTATTTTATTAAAACTTTATCCTTAAATCTTATATCCATATATTCTTCTTATAACTAACTCTTTAATTACATCATCCAATCTTTTAAAAAATCTTCTATTTACCACAAGCTCTTATTTCTTAGTGTTGATTTTTTTAATTTAATTAAAATTAATTTTTTTTTACTAATCATCATCTCTTTAGTATTAACCTTATCATTATTAGGTTGAATTTTGTAAGAATCAAATTGTAACTCTATCCTAAAAGTAATTATATTTTCTTTTTAGCTATTCCATCTTAATTTTATCTATTTATGGTCCAACCAAAGTAATAGAAGATTTTATAATATAATAAGCAAAATCAAACATAAAACTTGATATCAAGCTTGATTTATTAGCTATTAAATTATGTAAAAATATTTATAAAAATTATATTTAAATTATTTCTTTATATCTTAGATCTTCATTAATCTTTTTATTAAATAGTTGTATTACAACACAACAATGATTAGCTTGAACTTTTAGCAAGAATGTTATCTATTTTTATAATTTTTTATATGTAATGTAAAGATGACTATTTTAGTTGCTATTAAGTACTTAATTCTAATTAAAAAATTCTAATCCATAAATATAGTCTTTATACTTAAAAAATATGATAAGAAGTTATAACCTTTAACTCTTTTTATTGATTAGAATTAAGAAGCTCATCAAGTTGACTTTATATGAAACAAATCAACCTAATAACCATAAAAAGAGGTAAAATATATAGTTTTTAATACAACATAAATAATATTGTCATTTGAAATATCCATTAGATTATTATTAAGAAATATTTGTATAAAAAATAAAAGTTCCATACAAAACATTGATAAAAATAATTATAGGAAAATAAAATGAAATTAACTTTTTAATATTTGTCATAATTACTAGAATCAAAATATGAATTGACATGTTAAGAATTGTGGTAAATAAATGATTTGGTTTATTTTAGAGCCTCTTCTTTCTTTAAACAATATCCAAAAGTTAAGATTTCTAAAAAAGGATTTTTAAAAAAAAATTAATTTTAAAACCAAACTAAGATCTTTTTTAGGACTTTTATAATGTGGCCTTTGAAATTGGACTACTAAATGTGCAGACCCACACAGAAATAATCTTGACTTACTATTTCAGAGTTAATATCTACAGGAAGGATATTAAGACTTTTCTACACATCCTCAAAACGGTAAGATAACTTGTATACCTAAACGTCTTCAACTAAGTCAGCGAAAATTTTCTATTTGTGTCAAGAAGAAAACAAAAATCTAGACGAGTATCAAACCAAGCACCTGCATTTCTTGTACCGCGCCGAACTCTCTGACTTCTAGAGCTATGAATATGCGGAAGAAAGTAACATTGCTTCGTGTAGTTGGTTTGGTTCATTAATTATTTGTCAGAATTCATGACAATTTTTAAACTTGAGAAGCAGTGTTACTTCTCCGAGCCGATTCTCTAGCAGTGCGCATGGAGCTGGCGCAACCCTTAGACGGCTACCACAGTGGCAGACAATTGAATCTAGATCCCACGCCATGCAGAAAAATCCTATGCAAAGTGATTGGACTTTGGCAGCAGATCACAGCATTGTACAGGAGTAGATGGAAAACTCAGAATCAAGGAGTCCTTTCATTATTGAAATCCCGGGGCCCACAGGGTCCAAGATCATCACAGCCTGCACGCCTCATGTGAGCCGACATTGGGAGCGCGTGTGCAGATGCAGCATGTGCTTCAGGAATGTTTCCGAAGCCAAGTTCGGGGCTTCTACAACTAAAATCCAAGCTATCAGAAACCTGACTTAGACTGCTACCAAGGTCGACTGCTGGCGTATGCGAGTCCCGCGGCTCTAACCTGCACCCAGCGAAGAGAGCATGTCAAGTGCCGAACCGTGTGATGCGTTGCATCAAGGCAATGCCGCCAATGTTTACCAAACTTGACAGTCGTTAAGAACTTTAACATTTGATCAAAATCTAACATTTTGCACCCATGAGTACCTTAAGCTTGGTGAAGGAGATGGTTGTGTCGTTCAGCATGTATAGCGTGTTCAGCCGTTTTCCCGCAAATCCCATGTTGGGTACACCAGGTTGGCGGATGAGACCCAGGGGTTTCCCCGAGTGGCTGAATACTGAACCAGCCACAACAACCGTCAGAATCAGAAGGGGCTCAGAATATGATGCAAAGAAACCTGTGCAAGTACCACACGTTCTTTCGAAACTCTGCCGGATGAATGGCGTGTAAGGACTGATCCCTGACCTTGGACTCCGTCCACGGTTCCGATGTAGACGCGCTCCGCGGTGTCGACCTTGATACCATCAGGAATTCCAAGTCCTGGGCCGCTTCCGTCGTAAACGGCAACGGAGGCAAACAGCCGGCGGTTGGTTAGTAAGCCGTCCGTGCCCACGTCGAAGACGGTGACCGAGTGCGGCCTGGCAATATCGAACTGCCCCTGCAAGCTGACAGAGGTCAAGTACCAAAGGTCAATCACATAGACACACAACGATTAACGCTTCAACATCTTCTAATAGAATGTATTTCTTCTCAATTCATCTCAAATTCTGATTGAATGCTGTCAATTGACCCAGTGTCCATAACACGACGAAGCGGGGGTTGCAGGAGACAGCGCTGTACCCAAGAGCAAATCCAGAGTCGGCAACATAAAGACGCTTCTCATCGTGCGAGAATGCAAGTCCGTTGGGCTGCGTGAATCCATCCGCCACGGCATCCACCACGCCGGAGGTACTGATCTTGTAAATCTGGTTCTTCACGTTAGGCGCGTCTCGGAATCCCTGCACACTGCCGTAGCTGGGATCTGTGAACCAAATCGTCCCGTCACGCTTCACCACAGCGTCATTTGGGCTGTTGAACGGTACTCCGAACCAGTTGTCTGCCACCACGGTTTTTTCCATGGTCTTAAGGTTAATCCGCTGAATGAAACCCCCTTTGGTCCTCGATCCTTGCTGGCAGACCAAGAGATTACCGTCGTTGTCGAGCACCATTCCGTTGGGGACATCGTCTAGGGGCGCGCTCAAGGTTGTCACAACTCTCGTCCTCAGGTTGACCTTCTTCAGCTGGTGGTTAATATCACACGAAACGATCAGATACATGTTCTAGTGAGTCAAAAGTTCAATTATCTTGTGCAGCCATTCAATCAATCACCTATGCTTTGGACCTGACCAGAGAATGAGAGGGGAATGAGGCCTACGTCTGTTCTTACGACACCATTGGGACCTTCCAACCTCACGGACGAGAAATAGAACTCGTTGTTGTCGGGGTACCACACAGCGCCTTCGTGAGCGTTTGTCTTTACCAGCTCAACAACCTTTGGTGACGGGCCCAGAATATCCAAAAACTCTAGGTCGCGGACCTGCAACCCAGCCACAAGACAAAGCCATGGAATTTCATGTGGGCAACGATTTGCGATGCATTCACAGCAGGGGCACTCAGAGGGGATGGGCGGTGAAACCTACCACGAATCTGCAATCTTCAATGGGCTCCACGGGCCCAGTGGGCGTGCGATTTACGAGGCTGCCTTGGCGCCAGTAGCACGCACCTGGTGGAAGGGATGTGCCGTCTGACGCTGCGCCATTAACATCTACAGCATCACACCCAGCAAGTTGTGGAATGAGTTGATCCTTTTCTGCAAATTGCGATCGGAATGGGCACATTTGTGAAGACCCATCTTAGAAGTAAGCGAGGTCAAGGGCGATGCTGCTCAGATAGAATTGCTAGCTCTCAATCCTGAACATGTCCCCGTCTTCGAACGCTAAGACTGCTCGAAGAATTTCTTCGAGCGAATCGTTGGATGACCGTATACAATGGACTTCTTGTCCAACGAGGAGGACAACATTGGGTGCAACTGGTCATGGCTCGCCCGAATACTATGGTGATCACTGCAACGGGAATGGTTATCACAGAAGCTAAACGTTGCAGCTAAACTTCTCAAGGCCCTTAGAACTGGCACGAAGATTTGTAAGCGAAACGGGAACGGAGAAGGGCAACGGATGGCAGGCTTCGACTCAGAGAGTGGAACAAATTTTAAGAAATCATTTCGATAAGGTGCACACAGAGCGCGGTGGGAAGTGGGGATGGCGTACATGTGGCGAACAAGACTGAAAAAGTTACCGCAACTCTGAGAAACATCACCAGAGCCATCTCTAAGGCATCGAAGTGCCTAGCAGAGCCCTTGCCGGGTGCTGTCCTCCTCAGAAGACCAGCGCAAAGCTGCGACTGCAACGGCTGCTACGAAACAACTGCCACATTCACCTTTAAAAATGCTGTGTGGATCCAGACTGTTTCAGTTACAGTGCAATCTGACCGACGGGGATGGAGATGTGTGGAGGGGGAAGCGAGACCTCCGTGCAAGGCTTAAGAGAATTTGCTGCTAGAAGTTGCGCTAGATCCCTATTTTGAGATGGGACAAAGTGGGTGGCGATACCAGTGAGGCAGCATGTGTGAGTAACGGCGGTGTTGGCATCGAGACAGGCATACCCAAATTAGGAGAAATAATGTTGTGAGAAGTTATTCATGTAGGTGGGTAAAATAGAGAATCTGATTGAATTTTGCATTGGTGAGTAACAGTGGATATAACGCTGGAAGGATACTTGAAGCATGCTCCTCGTGGAACACCATGTCGCATGATGTAATCAGCTCTCCATTATTGATTTTGTGGACTTTATAGCCTTTGCCGAGGGAGCTGTAGCCAAGAAGAATGCACCAGAGGTTTAATCGTTGATTTTAACTCAGAGAGGAACCGGTAAATTTGCTAAACAGCGGCTACTAAATACACGAAGGTGGGCTATATCTGGTTTTCTTTTATTTTATGCCACATTTCAAAACGAGTAGTGTCACAAGGAATCGCTTGTGTTGGACTCCTATTTTGCATATAGATTGTGCACATGACCGCTTATATCCAATAGTGTTTAGATAGCTTGGCTTCATGAAACATACATCTTGTGGCATTGAGAAGAGTGCAATTTTTTCTTTCAGCAATGCCATTTTGGCGGGGAGTGTAAGCAGTTGTGGATTGATGTTGTATTCTGTGAGCTTCCAAGTATTGATTGAAAATGGAGAAGAGATATTTTCCTTCTTGATTGAAGTGAAGGACTTGCTGTTTGTAGCCCGTTTGTATTTCAGCTTAAAGATGAAAAAGTTTATATACATAAAAGCATTTTTTTTTTTGGCAAAGTAAGCAAAGTATTGTGTAGTAGAAAAAATCTTCTATAAAAGTAATATAATATTCAAATCTCAAAAATGTTGGGTGTTGCAATGTGGCTATTGAAATCAAAATTTACTATATTAAGAAATTTGTAGCATATATTGTTGCAATTTTAGAAAACTTAGTTGCTACTACTAATGTTGATATCAGATTACTTCTTAAATAAATACCATAATAAGTATGCTCTATGTATATCAATACAATTGTTTCAAATAATTATTGCTTATATATTCCAAGTGACAATGTCATAGTATTGAAATCTTGTTTGTAGGAATAAAAATATTATGTTGAGTAGAATTTGCAACCACCATAAGATTGTATTTTTTGGACTGTTTGCTTGAGGTGACTACATCTAGTAGCAAATACTTTGATTGCAGCTAGTATTTTGTCAATAGGTCACATAAATTTATTTTTGGTAAAATCTTTATTATAAAAAAATCAATCATGGTCAATGATGATGATGCTTGGAACCTAAAGTCTAAGAGCATGTCAAGCTGCCAACCAGAATCATAATTATTTGTATCAATTTGGGCATTGATATAAACCAATTTATATATTGTAAAAAACTTGAGTGCCATTGTTATGGTTTTAAGCAACCAAGGTGTTTGATTCATCACAAGAAGCAATCATATTGCTAGGTTCTTTGCAAAAAACTACCATGGCTCTTAGGTAAATATGTAAAGCAACCAAAGTGATAAGTTGTCATGGACATAAATATTTATTCCAACAATTATCTATATAATTAAGTAGAAGTAAATAAAAGTAGATTAATTTTATAATATTTTCTAGAAAAGCTTTTTAGAAGCTTTATAGATATTGCTTTGACTTTATATGTGTTTATAGTTGATTAGTAGCTTAAAAACTTGATCAACAAATTAGCCATATATCACATGTGTTGGTAGCTTATTCTATGAGCTAATTATAAGGGAGACATATAGAAAACTTGTCTTGCAAGTTAAGACATGTGTCTTTTAAAGTCAATATGTATTGGAGGTCCTATAAAACCTCATCATGTAGGTCCTAATTAGATAGTATATTGTCACGGACATACATATAATTACCTACATGAATAGATAAAAGTATGTAAAAGTAGATAAAAGTAGGTTAATTGTGTAATATCTTCTAGAGAAGCTTCTTAGAAGCTTCATAGATGCTGCTTTGACTTTATAGGAGTCTATAGTTGACTTTTAGGTTAGAAACTTGGTCAAGAAGTTAACCATGTGCCACACATGTTGGAAGCTTAAAGATTAAGCTAACTACGTGGTCCATCCATAGAAAACTTGCCTTGCAAGCAAAGGCATGTGGCCTAGAAAGTCAACATATATTGGAGGTCTTATAGAACATCGCCACGTGGCTTCTAGTTAGATAGTATATATAGAGGCAAGAGTGAAGCCCTCTTCACTCTTGTCAACTCCTTTCTTGCTTCTAGTCTAGTTTCAAGGGTCTCTAGTTTTCTTGTATTTTGGCAATAGCCATTCCAGTTTCTTTCTTAATATACATATTTCTATTTTGTCCTATTTCTTTTTGAGAAAAGTCTCACTTACTCTTTAGCTTTCATCGAGTTCTTGTCCCTGACAGATTGACAAGAGTACACTTACAATATCAAAGCTTTGTCTTTTCTTGATTAAGAGTGGATTACCCCTTTTTCTTGATAAGACATAAGCGCATTAGAAGTTGCGGATTACCCTCTTTTAAACTGATATTGTTCTTAGTATTTTCTTTGTTATCAATTCCTCTCTTCTATTTGTTTTGAGCGTTATTAGACATCTTCTCTTTTCTAAGTGCTACTATGGCAGAGCTTGTTGAAATGAAGAGTGCAATGGCACAGATGCAAGAACAATTAAGGGAGTTAATGCTTGCGATGCATCAACTCAATTTACCACCACAAGGAGCAACAAGAATGGTAGGAAGTAAAGATATAGAGATGATTGGGGCTGCTTCAACATCTGCACCAAACCATATCCCTTCTCCCAGAATGGAACACCCTTGGAGTGTTAGAGAACCGAGAGTTGCCTTGTCCGAGAAGTTTGATGGTATCAAATCCAAGTTTCGAGGATTCATCAATCAGGTCCAACTAGTGATTGAACTTCAACTCCATAGCTATCCAACTCCAGGGTCACAAGTTAGATTCATTGGTACACTTCTTTCAGGTTCAGCATTGTCATGGTTTTCATCTTTTCTTGAACGACGAGATCCAATATTGGATAATCTGGAGGCTTTTTTGGCGGAGTTTCGATCCATGTTTGGAGAACATGATGCAATTCGTGTTGCAACCAACAAGATCCGTATTTTGCGACAAGGCAATCGATCAGTAACATTATATGCTTCGTAATTTCGACAACTTGCAACTGATATCAAGTAGGATGATGCCGCACTTGTGAGTCAATTTCTCTACGGATTACAATATGAGGTAAAGAAATTGATGCTTAATTTACCTGATCCTCAAACATTGAGTCAAGCAATTGACTTTGCTGTGAAGTGCGACAATTGACTTTTTGAATTTCGATCCGAGAGTCGCACAAGTGGGCCTCAACGTTACTACAATTCAATGGCAACACCGACGTCTCCTCAACACATACCTTCAGAAGTAGAGGATATGTAAATTGATGCGGTACGTTTCAAACCTCTTACTGAGCAAGAAAAGTCTCGTCGTCGACAAGAAGGATTGTGCTTATATTGTGGAGAACCTAAGCACACTGCTCAACATTGTCTAAAGAAGCGACGTAACTACAAAATGAGGAGTACGGTTGTCAAAGAAGACAGTATGTCAGAAAACGAGTACGTCCAGCTACAATAGGGACCGTGCGGCTGGAATCTTGTACAACTTCTAATGAAGGTCCTATCCTCTCCTCAGAACCATCTCCTTGTTTTATAATAGATGTGCGTTTAGGACCTAATAATTACAAAGCCTCTGCCTTGGTAGATTCAGGAGCCTCATCTTGTTTTTTAGATGAAGAATTTGCTAGATGTCATAGAATATCATTAATACAAAAAACTAAACCTGTACACGTAGAAGTCATAGATGGTCATTCGTTGTCTTCTGGAGATGTAACTTACGAAACACTTCCTGTAGATGTAGTAATAAATGGTCATAGTAGTTGCGTAATTTTTAATATAATTAGATCTCCCTCTAATCCAATAATTTTAGGCTTATTATGGTTAGAAAAGTATAATCCTCGAATAGATTGGATTTCTCGTAAACTTGATTTTCCTCAGAGCATTAGTAACAGTTCTATTAATCAAGTAAAAAACCATGAGTCTAGTATAGTAAAACTCGCACTTATAGGTGCAAAAGCATTTATACACGCAACAAAAGAAGGATCAACTTTTGCTATTTATGCTGCACCTATTTCTGAAAGCGTAAAGACTTCAAGTGGCATTCCAAGTCAATATCAAGATTATCAAGACGTTTTTGAGAAAAAAAATGCAGATATTCTTCCTGAGCATCGCCCATACGATTGTTCAATCGATCTCAAGGAAGGAACTCTGCCACCATTTGGACCAATTTACAGTTTATCGCAAGATGAGTTGGCTGAACTCAAGACATATATTGACGAGAATTTAGCGAAGAATTTCATACGCCATTCAAAATCTCCAGCAGGAGCTCCAATTTTATTCGTAAAGAAAAAAGATGGATCTTTACGAATGTGTGTTGACTATCGAGGACTCAACAAGATCACAATCAAGAACATGTATCCATTACCTTTGATATCAGGACTCCTTGACCAGTTAAATCAAGCTAAGATCTATACAAAAATAGATCTAAGAGGAGCATATAATCTAGTACGGATCAAAGAAGGAGATGAATGGAAGACTGCGTTTTGAACCAGGTACGGGCATTTTGAATATAATGTCATGCCTTTTGGACTCACGAATGCACCAGCTACTTTTCAACATCTCATGAATGATGTATTTCGTGAATTCTTAGACAATTTTATCGTCTGCTACCTAGACGATATCCTGATTTATTCTAAGAATGTTGAAGAACATGAAATACATGTTCGTCAAGTATTACAAAAACTCAGAGATGCAAGATTGTACGCCAAGATGGAAAAGTGTGTATTTCACACTACTCAAGTTGACTTTTTAGGATACATCATTTCAAATGATGGTCTCATGATGGATTCTAAGAAAGTCCAAACAATCATGGATTGGAAGAT